AAACAGCATATATAGGTTTGGTACTGTCTAGTTTTAGGTCTCCACTAGGAGACGTGAAAATCAAGGATACTACTGTAATAACTAAAATAAAATGTTCATTATGATACAGCATAATAACTTTTGTAAATGTCACAATGTACCCCCAGTACAATAATATGATAATAAAAAAATTTGAAAAAAATAAAATGTTCTGATGCGAAGGTGTGGTTGTTTTCACATATGTCCATAAATTCTTTGACATTCTTACTCCTTTTAAGAAGTGAGCTTAGGCCTGGAGGTATGGCTCAAGTGGCAGAGCTCATGCCTACCAAGTACAAAGTCCTGAGTTCAATCCCAGTACCACAAAAAAAAAAAAAAAAAGTGAGCTTAATTCTTCTTCCATTGATTATAGGCTTGACTTAATATCTCTCTTTGGTGTTAGTCACCTTTCTGTCACTGTAACAATGACAATTATGCCTGAAATAACTAACTTAAGAAGAGAAAACTTTTAAAACTCCCTCAAAAGTCAATGACTCAATGAAGATTTCTGAATGAAATGTTCAAATGAACTGAACAGAGCTTTTTTAGAGGAAGAAATCCGCATGGCCAAAAAAAAAAAAAAATTAAGAAATGCTCAACATTCCTGGCCAGAAAGGAAATGCACATCAAAACCATGTTAAGAGTCCACCTCATTCCTGTTAGAATAGCTATCATGAAGAACACCACCACCAACAAATGTTGGTGAGGATGTGGAGAAAAGGAACCTTTATACACTGCTGGTGGGAATTTAAATTAGTATAACCACTGTGGAAAACAGTATAGAGGCTCTTCAAAAAACTAAAAATAGAACTGCCATATGATCCAGCAATGCCACTCTAGGGATATACCCAAAGGAATGTAAGTCAGGCTACAACAAAGACACCTGCACCCATGTTTAGTGAAGTGTTATTCACAATAGCTAAGCTATGGAAACAGGCAAGATACCCCACTACTGATGAGTGGATTAAATTGTATTTATATACAATGGAGTTCTATTCATCCATAAAGAAGAATGAAATTTTGTTGTTTGCAGGTAAATGGATAGAACTGGAGAACATCATCTTAAGTGAAGTTAGCCAGGTTCAGAAAACTTAAGGCTGCATGTTTCCCTCATATGTAGAATATGGACTTAATACAATATTAGCAATATTACCTAATATAATCATAAAGCAATATTATGAAAAACAGATCATACTAAGGGGAAGTCACATACAAGAGGAGGATAAAAGAAGGAAGTTAAGAAGGTGAATATGGTTGATGTACTTCCTATACAAGAATGAATACAGAATTTTTTTTTTTCATTTTTCTTTTATTATTCATATGTGCATACAAGGCTTGGTTCATTTCTCCTCCCTGCCCCCACCCCCTCCCTTACCACCCACTCCACCCCCTCCCGCTCCCCCCCATGAATACAGAATTTTTAAACCTGCTGAAATCACCATAAGAAGGGGGTCTAAGGTAAAAAGGTGAAAAATAGAGTTGATGAACCAATTCAGGTTATAATATGTATATATGGAAATGCCAAGGAAACCAGTGTATAGCTACCTTAAACAAAAATGTCATTTTTTAAATACAAAAACAGAGAACAGGAGTGCAGAACAGGTCCTGTCTGGGGGGTTGGTACAAGTGGGAGGGGGGAGGATCTGGGGAGAGGATGTAGGAGGATGAACATGGTGCAAATATTGTGTACACATGTATGCAAATGACAAAATGAGACCTGTTGAAACTATTTTAGGAATTGGGGGAGAGAGATAAAGAAGAATGATGGAGAGGGTGAGTTCAACAATGATATATTGTAAAAAAGGAAGAAAAGTTTTATTTTGGATCACAGTTTTGGAGGTTTCAGTCCATGATTGGCGATTGGCTGGCCCTGAGGCCCTGTAATGAGGCAGCATATCATGGCAGGAGCAAAACCACTCACCTCATGGTCAGGGAGCAAAAGAGGAATAGATCAGGATCCCATAATTCCCTTCAAGGGCACACCCCCAATGGCCCAAAGACTTCTTACTAGATTGCCCTACTTAAAGGTTCCATCACTTCCCAACAATGCTACCTTATAGACTGAGCCTTTAATGCATGGATTTGGGGTGAGGGGAGGGCATTTAAGATTCAAACTATAGCACAGCTAGAAAAGGTAAGGGGCTGGAGGTGTGGTTCAAGTGGTAGAGCACCTGCCTTAGCAAGCATGAGGCCCTGAGTTCAAAGCCCAGTACTGCCAAAGAAAAACAAAACAAAACACACACACATAGAGAGGGAGGGAAGTGACAGTTGTGACAGTCATTTCTGAGATTAGGTCATAAAAAGGCATTTTGTTTCCTCTTGCTTTGATCATCTGCTTTGAGGAAAGTTAGCTATTATATAAGCACAGTCAAGCAGTTTATGGAGAGGCCCAGGTGGTGAGAAACTGAACAGTCTGGTCAATAGCCAAAGAGGAACTGAGGCCTTCAGTCATCTTAGAAATGGATCCTCCAGTCCACCCTATCTCCAGCCATTATATGAGTGTAGCCACTTCTGATATCCTGTCTGCAACCACATGAGAGACCTTGATCCAGAAACATCTAGCTAAGGTACTTCTAGATCCTGAATCTCAGAAACTCTGAGGTAATAAATGGTTTTTTGGTTTTTTTTCAGCCTTTATATTTTAGGGCGTTTTTTTTTTTTTTTGGTGGGATTGGGGTTTGAACTCAGGGCTTCACACTTGCAAAGCAGGCGCTTAAGTCATGCCTCTAGTCCTAGGGCAATTTGTTATGCAGTAATAGATAATAAACACAGAAGATTGGACAATAAAATTGAGGAAGCCTCCTAATGAGTAAGTAACAAAAAAGAAAATATATAGAAAGATTGATAAATTAGCAGATCAATTAAGGAGGTTTCATAGATGACAAATTGCAGTTTGAAAAAGAAAGGAGAGAGGAAATAGATAATAAAAAAACAGCAAGAGAAAAATTCTCAGAAATGAAGAGCATGATTTTCCAGGATTAAAGAATTCATGGAATGTCCATCACAGTGAATGAAAAAAGACCCACAATTAAGTTCCATCATTAAGAAAAAATAGAACATTAGGGAAACAAAAAGAAAACTTAAAGATTCAGAAGGAAATAAAGAAATTAGATAAAAGGAATATAATTGGAAACTAGAGGACATTAAAGACATACCTTCAAAATTCTGAGATGATTTTCAACCTAGAATTCCATATCAGGAAAAATTGTCAATTAAGTATGAGGATAAGCTGGGCACCAGTGGCTCATGCCTGTAATCCTGGCTACTCAGGAGGCAAGAGATCAGGATCATGGTGCAAAACCTTGCTGAGGAAATAGTCCGTGAGACTCTATCTCAAAAATCCCATCACAAAAAAAAGGGCTGGTGGAGTGGCTCAAGGTGTAGGCCCTGAGTTCAAGCCCCAGTACCACAAAACAAAAAAAAGAAAAAAAAAACCTGTGAGGATAGCATAACGCCATTCTGGACTCACAAATATACCTCCTACACATATAACAAATGGCCATTTATTATTAAGTGCTTAAGCCGGCAAAAGTATGGATTAATTAGAAATTATCAAGTGCAAATTCTCTGTCCACATCTTAAGAGGGCAACTGGAAGGTGTAAGATTGGAGGTGTGGAGAGTGAGCAGGGAGTAGGGTGGCAAATCTAATGTCAGTCCAGTTTTCCCTCTAACCTTACATTCTATCTATTTGGCCAAGGCTCCTGCCTCTGATGCTCCAATACCAGAATGAGAAAATGTAAGCAACTGCTTCCCTATCATCCCATAGAGGACTCTGCCTTTATAAAGTGAAGTCCTCCTCTCTGCCTAGCCTACAAAGAGATTAATCAAAGGTAAGACTCAGGTCTCTCATTGAATAGGTACCAAGTCCGGCTCACTATTTTTTAATTTTGTTTTTTTGTGTGTGCTGGGATCAAACCCAGGCCTTGCAATGCTGGCAATCACTCTACCACTAAGCTACACACCTCCTCCCTCATCAGTGTTCAAGTAGCTAAAACCCTGGGCTGGGTGCTTAGTTCATTCATGATGAGGCAGTTCCATAGAGTAAGGGCAGGTGGGGTTGGAGCAGTCAGAAGCTTACTATTGGCCTGAGCAAGGGAAATTTGTGGTTTTCCCAAAGGGTGTGTTTGTCTGAGAGAGGGTACAAAAGAGTTCCTCATTATTTGAAATAGCCCCATGCTGGGACCCAGCTGGGGTGGAGAGCCAGGGCCAGGAAGGTTGTTATAGGAGTATTTATTTATCTTTTTTTTTTTTTTTTTGCTGTACTGGGGCTTGAACTCAGGGCATACACCTTGAGCCACTCCACCAGCCCTTTTTTGTGAAGGGTTTTTTTGAGATAGGGTTTCGCGGAACTATTTGCCTGTGCTGGCTTCGCATGGTGATCTTCCTGATTTCTGCTTCCTGAGTAGCTAGGATTACAGGTGTGAGCCACAAGCACCTGGTGGTATAGGACTATTAAGGGATTTCTAGGGTTCCTCAGGGGGACCCTTTGGGTAATCAGAGAGGACAGAGTGAATGCTCAAGGGAGGCCTATATAAGATTGTCTTCCATAATCTTCACTCTGCTTTTATTCTTTCTTGGTCCTTCTTCCTTTGCCATAGTACAGCTTTTGCTTCAGTACCCACCTACACTTTCCTTTACATGTGTTCCCATTCTACCTGAAGACCCTTTCTCTTCCATTTCTGTGTTTTTAAACAATTTGTCTTTCAAGACCTGAACCAATTGTCCTGCAAACCGTCCCCTAACTTCCTATTTTAGTCATTCAAAATCTCTTATTCATTCACTCTACAAATACTTATTTATTAAACCTCTATTATGTATGAGGCACAGCTAAGCATTGTGCATATAATACAGATCAAATATTTACTCAGTCAGTGCCTGCTGAAAATTCTTCCACAGTTCCTTATAAAGTTAAACTCTTAGCATGGTAAGCAGCATCCTCAATTATCTGGCCCTTCTATATCTCTACTCATATTCCCCTTACTTGTTTCTTCAGTTGTGTCCCTCTTTTTGCTCCGAAAGGAATTTTGATATCCTAGTAGATACAAGTTAAAGAAAGCCATCTCAGCTCTTCCCTGTCCTCTTCTGGAATGCCCTCACTGGAGCACTAGATTCTGTTTGGTAACCATGGTAATATCTTGCACAGTTACTATGACTGGCACTTCCTTTGTCTAATAAGGCATAGGATATATGTTCATAGTGGAGTTGGAGTAGGCTAAATAATTTCAGGAAAATAGAGGAATCAAGTTCTGTTTTTCTTGAGCCAGTCACATACTGAAATTTCAGAAAGCAGTGAGAAGAAAGTACTAACCTGGGCTCCAAAGTAAGTTTTACTATACTGTAGGTGTTTGACTTTGAATACATTAAGTCCTAGTCTTTTTATTTTAAAAAATGGCAATGATGAGATCTAGTTCATTGTTAAGAGAATTAAATAATATATATGCAAATCTCCTTAGTACATAATGTGTTCAATATCTAATGGAACCTTAACAAACAGTATTTAAATGAACTGGTGTGACAGCCCATGCTGACTTTCAAGAACTTGTTACATTTTCATTAATTTTGTTAGCATGCTGCCATTATTAAAAATCGAAACGCAGGTGTGGTGGTTCATGCCTATAATCCCAGTTACCTGAAGAAGTATAGGCAGGAGGCTGCTAACTGCTAGCTTGGACAGTTAGTGAGACCCTATCTCAAAAACAAAATACATACAAAGGGGCTAGGGGCATGGCTTAAGTGGTAGAGCACTTGCCCAGCATGTGTGAGCCCCTGGTTTCAATCCTCAGTACCGCTCCCCCCCGCAAAAACAGAAATTTAAAATTGAGAAGTTATAGTAAAAATGAAGGTAGTAAATACTAAAAATTAATCACTTCCTAGTTATTTTCTATAATCATGAGTCTATTTGCTTTCATTTTACCTGGATATTCTGCTATTTTTCTTTTCTTTTTTTAAAATTTTTATTGTTTTATTATTGATTCATATGTGCATACAATGCGTGAGTCATTTCTCCCCCATTTCTTTTTTTTTTTTTTCTCTTCACTTTCAGTTTGGAAGTTTCTGTGGAAATATTTTCAAGCCAACTGACTCTTAGTTGTGTCCAGTCTACTGATGAGCCCATCAAAGACATTCATCATTTCTGTTAGTTTATTTTTAGACTTTGATTCTTTCTTAAAGTTTCATTTCTCTGCTATACCCATCTGTTTTTCATGTTGTCCACTTTTCCATTAGTCTTTAGCATACTAAATAGTTATTTTAAATCTCAGTTTTATAATTCTAAAATATCTGCCACATAGGAGTCTGGTCCTGATGATTATATTTTTTGTCTTTTAGCCTGCTGTGTAAAGTTCAAGTTTTATGTGCATATGGCTAGGAGTTAGGCTGTGTTTGCTATTTGCTATAAATACAGGTGTTAGAAGCCAAAATTTTCTTTGATGTCCTTGTCCCCTGCTATCTTTGACTTTCCTCAGATACTTTTTTTTGAGAGCGGCTCTGGGGTTTGAACTCAGGGCCTCACCCTTGAAGGCAGGCACAGTTACCTACTGCTTCAGTCACTCCACCAGCCCTTTTAGTAATGGGCTTTTTCAAGCTAGGGTCTTGAGAACTATTTGCCTGGGCTGGCTTCAAACACAATCCTCCTGATCGATTGATTGCCTCCTGAGTAGGTAGAATTACAGAGATGAATCACTGGCACCTGGCTAGATACTCCTTCTTAAATAGGGTCTGAGCTTTGCAATTCTTTCTGTTGTAATCTCTGTTATTATAATGGGGCCTTACTGATGTGTTAGCAAACCGGGAGGCTAAAATGCAAGAAACATTTTATAATTCTGTTATTAGGGCTCAGTCTTTTATTCAGCTTGTGCATCACTGGGCTGTCACTTTCACAAATGCCTCCTCAAGGTAAAACACACACAAAATATGAGGGACATCTTAAGCAGAGGCTCCCAAAAGTTTTTTTTTTTTTTTTAATCTCTCAGGCTAGTCCCTGTTTAGTTTTCAGCAATCAACCAATTGTTCTTTTAAGTTGCTGATTCCCATAGTGATCTTTGTTTTCAGTAAGTTATGATTTTCTTTTCTACCTGATTTGATTTTACCGGTCTCCAGTTTTTGGGATGGTTTGTCCTGTGACCTCAATTCTCTGATGGGCATAAGAAGGATTGTAAAATTTCAGTTTGGTTGGCTTTTTCATTATGAGAATGGGAATGATGACGTGTGTGTGTGTGTGTGTGTGTGTGTAAGGGATAGAACCTGGGGCCTCACACATGGTAGGCAAGTGTTCTACCACTGAGCTATACCCCCAGCCTGGCAGTAATAACTTCTATGCTTTTTATTTATCAGACTGAAAATTGGAAAGCCCCATCTATTGTACTGGTATGGAAGAAATACTATATGATGGTTTGTTGCATCTCTTCTCAGATGTGTGATGTCATATTGGTAGCTTGAGATCAGCCATGGTGAAAGAATTTACAGCATGGAAGTTAGCAAATGTTAAAGTTTGACTTATTCATTTTATTGATTGTATAGACTTAAGAAAGTAGAGAAAATGCTAATGCAGATTAAAAGCATATCGTATCTATAGCCATTACATTGTGATTAACACAAAAAATTGAAATATTCTTCTAGTGTTCAAAAACTATTATCCAATTCAATTATGTTGTTCAAGTCTTTGATAAATGAGTGAAGTTCCAACATAGGCCTCATTGTTTCATTTTAATCCTATTATTGTTATTATATTATTTTTGGCAGTGCTGGGATTGAGCCCAGGGCCTGATAATACATGCGAGGCAAGTGCTCTTCCACTGTGCTATACCCTCAACCCTAGCTTTAATCTTTTTTTTTTTCGTGGTACAGGAATTTGAACTCAGGGCAGGTCCTCTATCACTTGTTCCATGCCTCCAGCCCTTTTTGCTCTGGGTATTTTTGAGATAGGATCTTGTTTTCTGCCTATGCTGGACTGGACAGCAGTCCTCTTATTTCCTGTAGTAGCTCAGGTAATAGGCACACACAACCTCACCTAGCTTTTTTCCATTGAGATAGGGCCTCACAAACTTTTTTGCCCGGGGTTGGCCTGGAACTGAAATCCTCCTGATCTCAGTCTCCCAAGTAGCTAGGTGCCTGGTTCCTCACTTTCATCTTATTAATGCAAACCAACATTCAAAACTATACTTATTTTCAAATGTGACCACAGTTAGTTCCTAATTTATAAGTTTGACAAAATTCAAAGACAGCACTCCATGAGAATCAGTTGGTTGTAGGAAATTTACAGCAAAGATTATAATCCGGCACCGGTAACTCACACCTGTAATCCTAACTACTCAGGGGGCAAGAGATCAGGAAGAACTTGGTTCAAGGACAGCCCGGGCAGATAGTTCATGAGACCCTATCTCAAAAAAACACATCATAAAAAAGGGCTGGTGGAGTGGCTCAAGGTGTAGGCCCTCAATTCAAACCCCAGTACCACAAAAAAAAAAAAAAATTACAAAATGTGTGCTATATATCCTTGTATCAGTAAATTTTACAATAATTACATCTATATGCATATATGTATACATATATACACACACATGCACATTTTTTTCTGGAAATCTGGTTTTAACATTAGTGGCACACGCCATGGCTGATTTGAACCTATCAGTGTGTCTTCACTAACATGACAGTGGGAAGTGTGAATAGCAAATCATCTTTTCATATTTTAATTCAAAGTCTAAATAAATGTTGGGGAGAAACTATTTTAACAGTAAAAATTGTAGTGTTTGACATGACTTAAATATGTAGGGTGCAAAAGAAGATGAAATCATGAAAAATTATATAATCCTGTACCTCAAACAAGATTAAGTCTAGTGAATAGGAAGAACAGGTCTATGGGTGTGATTTACAGGAAACAGACTCCTATTTACATTTTTTTTTAAAAAGGAAAGGAAACTTCCTCTGGCTTAAGATTTTGTCAGTTCTTTTATTTTTTTTTGTTGTACTGGGGTTTGAATTCAGGGCCTTGTGCTTGCTAGGCAAGCATTCTATCACTGAGCCACTCCCCCAGCCTCCAGTCAGTTGTTCTTAAGGGAATGTATCTAAAGGCTCATGTTATTTAGACAATGAGTATATTGAACACCTTCTATGTGCCAGCTGGTGTTTTGTCAGGATGCAGAGATGACATTTGAGATCATAAAGCTTGCTAAATGAATAGCTGGAATTTCTGAGGACATTATTAAATAAGCCAGTCACAAAATGACAAATTATATATGATTCCATTTATATGAGGCATCTAAAGTAGCTAAAGAAACATAAAGGGAATGGAAGTTGCCAGGGGCTTGGAGGAGAGCAAAATGAGGAGCTGTCAATAGGCATAGTTTTAGTTTTGCAAGATGAAAAACTTCTAGAGGTCTGTTGCACAACAATGTGAATATAGTTGGCGCTATTGAACTATATACTTACAAATGGGTAAGATGGTTGTAGGAGTGCAAGAGATAGCTGGGATTTGAATCCAGGCCTGACTCAAAAACATGTATTTAGTGATTATGTTACCACTGCTACTTTCAAATAACTATATCCTTAAAAACTACCTCCTTCTTCTGATTTATACACGTGCTCCTCTTCTGAATGACAGGGGAGCAAGCCTCGGTTAGCAGTTGCATTGCCTGATGCATGACAGATCACCAGAACTTTCTCTTGTAAGAGTGGCATACTCAAGCAAAATAGCAAATTAGATATCAACCCAAGAGATTAAATGGAAAACCAAACACAAGTAAGACAATTAGGAAAGAAGGATCTGGGGGAAATAATTTTGGCTATCTAAAAAACAACATATAGCCAGGCAAGGTGGTTCATATCTGTAATCCTAGCTACTTGGGAGGTAGAGATCTAGAGATCACAGCTCAAGGCCAGCCTAGACAAAAAGTTCCTGAGATTTCATCTCAATCAATAAAAGCTAGGTGGCACCTGTCATCCTAAGTACAGCATCTACAGAGAGGATAATGGTTCAGGCCTACCTTAGATACAAACATGAGACCCTATTAGAAAAATAACTAAAGCATAAAGGGCTGGGGATGTGCTCAAGCTGCATTTGAGTTCAAACGCCAGTACTGCCAATCTTCCTTCCCCCAAAAAACCATACA